TAATTTGAACTCTCAAGGATCCGACAGAGGAAGGGGAAAAGAAACAACACCGCAGCTAGTATATTTGGCACCAGGTAAATAACAACAGCTAAGATAAACAAGGAAGGTGAACTTGAACTATTGCCACCAAACCAGTTTTTGACGGTCTGAGCAAAAACTGGAGAATTCTCCCAACTATAAGCATAGGTAACTGGTAGAACAATCACCCACGCAGCTGCTGAAACAACTTTCAATATGTATCTCAACTTAACATGGAATGACATACTCCTCTGTGCTTTCCAACTGAGAATTACATCAAGGACAGCTACAAAAAATATACAAGAAAAAAATTAGAGGTTATACTCAGCTGAAACGCATTAGAAAGGACAGCCTCACCTTCCAAGAAATGAAAGATCTTCCTTCCAAAGAGAAACTATCAATTTATCATTATATGGCTTGAATAAAAAAAATGAGAAGAAACAGAACTGAGAAGAACAAGAGAAATGGCATGAAAAGTCAAACTGAAATAGTTATTAGTTGCCTTTTTTAGGTGAGGATTCAGGCATTCAAGGAATCAAAAACAATGTAAGCGGATGGAAAAAGGGAAATATTGAATCCAGAGAGTAATATTGGCAATATAAAGGTGTTACTTCTGATTCCAAAGCCATTGTGCAATCAAAAATTTGGAATGCTGCAACCATGAACCCAATTATCCATTCGTGTTTTCATGATTTAAAACATCAAGGGAAATTGTGTTGTCCATTTCCTAGGATTATGCTCCAATCTGCTTCCTCAATAGCTTACTAGATTATATTTTGGTACCAATTGCCTTGAGTAGGCTTAGAATAAGTTTTTAATAAGAATGCATCTTCACATAAATCCTTTAATATGAATTTTACTTGAAAATCAAAAACTAAAAGGAACCTTTTTTTATCAATCATTGATTTTGTGTTCACTGTGACCAGTTTGATCTTCCTTCTTTAATGACAACTAGCATTTCCCAATCCACTCTATGGACTGTTTGGATGTATTTCTACTTTTAAAGAAAAAAATATAACTAAAAATTTATTCTTAGAAAAAAATAATAAAAGAGTTCATTGTTTTGCAGCTTAAATTATATCGAATTGTAAAATAAAAATCCTTGGATGGGGGACGACCCTCAATATCAGGGATTTGCCCCTCATTCAAGGATTTATATTTTGCAGTTCAATACAATCTAAATTACAAAATACTTTTTCAATAAAAAAATGCCAAAAGAATATTTTACCTTTAATAAGCTACATTAAATAATGACAATATCATCAAGCAATTTGTGGACTATACACCACTCTTTTTATTATTCTTAAGATACTACTTTAGATATCACATAAATTTCTAATGTTAAAACACAGTAAATCACCATATTGTGGCAAATGACACGATAAATCACTCAAAAAAATTTTTTTTGAAGTCTTGGTTAGTTTTTAAAAAATACAATCAAAATCTATTGCATTTTTTTCTTTAAAAAAAAAAAAATACTTATTCACATTAACATGTGATTTTTGTTGTAAAAAAGTAAGAATAAAAAGTTGTTTTATAAAATACTCTTACACTTAATTACAAAAGGAAAATTTCGCTAGATGAACAAAAAGTGGTTTGTAAGACAAAAAGTTGGGGGGAATAAAAGTAACTTTGATGGTGGAGTTGGAGAGATATGCTAGGTGAAAGATAATAATGACTAGGAAAGGCATCAATTAAGAGAGAAAGTAAGGGCCATGTTAGGCATTCAACTTTGATGTGTTGTTAAAAGACAAAGATGGACTCCACAACTTTTTGATGTTGAAGTGCCTTGGGAGACCAAAGAGGGGCAAGAAAGGTAATGAACCTTTAGTAGAACTTATGACTTGTGAGAGGGCCAAATAAGAGAGATAGAAAGAAAAAGTAAATGGTGAGACAGATAGGTAAGAGGGACCAAATAAGAGGGAGATAGGAAGAAAAAGAAAGTGATGGGGGAGATAGAAAGGAGAGAGGACTCAAGATTTTTATTATTAGATTAGATGTGGAGTGGAAGGCTACACCCTACCTACTCAGAGAATGTCTAGAAGATAATGCTTGGATGCTAAAGCAGGAACTAGTTGCATTTACCACTTACCCTGCCCAAGCTTCAAGATAGCAGCTGTGATAAAGATGCTCAATCCTTTCTTAAATACATCAGCAGTAAATATTGTGCTTGGATCCCCCGATCCATCACACGCAATAATGATCATAGCCTTGCAAAAATCAGCCATGAATATCACACCATGTAAAATCAAATGTACAAAGGAAAAAAAATATATATATATATATATATGTATATGTATATAGCAAGCTGTGGAAAAGATATGACACCTGCAAGCACAGAATGAAAAAGCTCCACATTCGATCAAAGCTTCTGAAAATGTGCCAGAACGAGCGAATCTCAACAAAGTTAACCTTCCCCACCCATCTGTCTCTTCTAGTTGATGGCTTTTCCTCCTACATACAACAAAAGCAGCAACAAATTAAGAGCTTGTTGGGTCAAATTGTAGCTTTTGTAGAAGTGTTGTTTATGTAGACCTTTTGCAGGACAGTTATTAATGATTTCACATAAAATAATCATTAAATATTTTTGAAATTGATAAATTATCAAAGCCAACTTAACAGCAACTCCAGACGCTAGAAGTTTGTAGCTTCAGCTTCTAGCCCTTTAGAAGCTAAAAACAGCTTTAGAAAAGCCAAAAGCATTTTTCAGAAAACTACTTTTGGCCCAGCTTCAACTTTTGCAGCAGAGAAGATCCTTTTAGAAGCTGGGCCAAACAGGCACCCAGGAACTAAGGCTCAATTGTAATGAACATGGACAACAAGCAACATATAGTAACCTTCTAGGAAATACTCTTGAGCATTTAGAAAAGTAAATTAGATCTGTACTATTGAACAATAGAAATCTTATTCATTTATCTACTGAAAGCCTTCAAGACTGATGCTAAAAACCATACATACAACAACCTTCATGCAAATATGACACAGGAATCACATTTACCTCATTTTTCTTGTGAATCTGCTCAGTAGGCTTACAAAAAAAATCAGCATCTGTACACATTGGCCAGCCCAGGCAAAAGCAATCAACAGACCTATGCTTAAACACAGGCAAATTAATCCTAGGAATTTACACAGGAAAGGAGAAACAACAAACAACAACAGTCCTACCAGAAGTATTCATTTAAATCATCATAGTTTCTCCATTGTGAGTGCTTCGATTTCCCCCGTCTGCTCCTTTCAGCTTCCTGTAAGAAATGTGATCATAACAACATTTATCTTTACCTTTTAGTGAAAATCACACAAAAAGAAGAAAAGTAAGAGAGCATACCCTTCTAATTACTTCATATATAGGTGTAACAACTTTCCTCAAGAAGGCTTCTTCTTCACCTCCATAGGCTGGCTTCACATTCTCTCCCGTCATGCAACTGACATCCCCAGCTAGCATACCATACAGTTCAAATGCCATCTAGAGAAAGCAAAGTACCACTTAGTATTTAGTGAAGCAGAATAAATTTACTACAGAAGTCACTGAGACAATAGACAGTATGGTCATCAAATTTCCTAGTCACGTGCACTGGACAAAACACTAATTGTGGGGGAGAAGCTTCATACTTGAAGCACAATCACAAATAAATAAAAAGGATGTTATCAAGTAGAGACAACCGTAGGAACAGATTAACTAGAAAAATTGACAAAAACCAAGAACAAAAACCAGCAAAAGAAAATATTCATGACATGGAAAAACTGGAGGTAATGAGAATATTGAATAGTATCATCTTTTAAAAATTGGCACCATATGGTTTGACCCTAATTAACCACTTTTGTACATAAACCCATAATGTCATATATTTTTCACTCATTTTTGGACTTGAGTCAAGTACCTTCTTACTGGCTTCCAAGTTCCCAGGTTATACATATTCAGGTATGTAGATTTTTAAGAAATGACATCACAATACAATCAAAGGAAGAAATTCAATGGGTGGCATGCAGAAGTGGAATAATCCCAAAACATTCTGTCACATGCATATAATAAAA